TTTTATCCACCTGTTTTTGTGCTGCTGTAAAGTTTGGCAACTTGAACCGATACACTTATGTGCGAGGTTCTACGTTGACTTTTTTTGTCTTTCTGCTGATGTGATGTTCCTGTTGAGGGTTTCTAAGCCATATCAGTTGATGAAAATCACTTGATAAGTTTAGGTCGTAGACTGAGTCGCATTTCTGCGTGAACATTTTCGACCTTATGAGCAGTTGGTAAAAATCAAATAACTTATTTACTTATCATCTGATTATATCCGAAATGAACTTTAGGCAGGCAAATCATTAAAGGATTTTGGCTGGGGCATATGTTAAGCATGTCTAGTGGTGTCTGTCGTGTCATGCAATGTTAGTTGAAGTGGGTTGAGGTTGGTAAAGTAGACTTGGACGGACCAAGGTAGCATCAACTAACGAAGATTTGATTTGAGCAGTGTGCGAAACTATGAGTTTATCGATCACTCTTCATGTGATAGTTGAAATTCGTGGCTGGAAACTAGAAGAAATAGCCCAGAATCGATATCATTGACACGGATTAGTCCGCGTATTATTTTCATCATAGTCGTGCTATTGTATTTGGTTACTTTTACTACCTCTTCATGTCTTATAGCTTCCTAGTACCCAGGTCCTTTTTTCGTATTCCTCTATCTTTCATGTTGCTGTCTTTTCTTGACTTGCTGATGGAATGTGTAGCAACTTAACCAGTAAAGTAATGCTACCAGATCCCCTGTTAATATTGATTGGTTTACTGACTGACTAACCTGGGACTGTTGGCGCTAATCCTGGGCAGGAAAACTGGGTTCAGTATCAGATGTCAGTTTTACATTAGAGCTTTCAAAATCCACACTATGCAACATGCGACAACAGGCTTCACCAGACAAAAATTTGGGATTTCGGACCCTGGATAAATTCTGTATTTCTGACAACAAAAAGAATCCAGATAGAACCTAGTCCAAAAGTACGTTAATTTGCCACACTTGAGAAGCATGCCAATAAGTGTATTTAGACAGACTATATTAAAGTTGACAATTTCGAGAAGAGAGCAAATAAACATGAAGGTTAATGAAAACTTTTCAGTTTCCGAAGATGATCCACTTCACATATCTGCACCATTAGGATCGATCTTAATAAAAATACAGAACCTAGGTGTAACTATTCATCTGAACTTACCTGGGCAAATTTAGTAGGTCTAAAAAACGTCGTAAAACTGGCCACAAATTCAATGTGATTAAGTATGAAGCACCCTTACGTATATTGAGAATTCACTAGTTATCTTTCAACCTTCATGCCTACTCTTAATGATTTGTAAATTTTTAGTTGTATGATTCCTACACATGTTATTTTGGGTTTTCAATTTGTTACTCATTACGGACTGACATCAGTTCGAAAACCACTGAAAACCTTGGAGCAATGGAGTACTGTTTTGTCCTAGTATGGAAATCTGTAGCAGCGCGCCTCTATGATCCAGTCAGGAGTCGAACTAAAAACCACTCGGTCCCGCAGCGAGCACGTTACCAATGGGTTGGAATCCAGTGGTCCATACATTCCTACTTCTGTCAGTTAGCAACATAACGTGACCTTCATTTGTGATGTGTAAGCAGCAGCTTTACTCGATTAAATGGTGGATTGTGATACGATCAGTTTTTCCCATCTCTGTCAATAATCGGTTTTGGGAATCATCATACATCTTATGCAATCAGCAAACTGGTAATTTCTTCCTCACTAGCAAATATCACTCGGCTACCTTACACCATATGGTGTCAGTATTCACTTTTCCGGTCAGCCATTATGTAACGCTTCCCCCATCACTGTCACCAACAATTACTTCTTAGCGAGTAGTTATATCAAAACAGAAATCGCACTATTTAAGAGGATCCCAGTTCACAGTTGTCTGAATAATTAGACAACTAGAGAAAGCTTCACACATTGATGCCTACTTATATTGTGCCCGTTCACTCACTGACAGTCTAGGTGATGCAAATGGTCAATTACACTAAAGCTATCAATTTTTCTACACAGCGGAATTGTCAGTTATAGTCATACTAGTGGGTGACTTCAAGCACTAATTAGAAAAACCAAGGCAATTGAGAAAACACTGTATCTACAGATTACCAAGTCAGCATACCGACTGTAGGGCCTATCTCTTGCAACTTTATTCTGGTCAGTACTTTTTCTTTTCCAGCACGAAGCTCTAACACAAACCATCATTAGGAAGAATAAGTGGAGGATCTTCTATCTTTTATGAGTACTTTATTCGAATCTGACGGTGTAGTAATAATATACATGTTCTTTCACCATCGATGCAGAAAACAGCGATAAAGCCTGTGTGCTAAACTGAAAGATCAGAACATAATATGTGTATTTAGGGAGAAGCTAGCTAAGTATTTATTGAAATATGACAGCAGTCTCCATATGAAGTCTGGCATTTTATTTAATGAGTTGTAAAACACTGGTGGAGACAGCAACCTGCAGAATTTTAGTAAAAACCAGTAGGTTATTGCAGCATCATGTGAACTAATTCATTTGAAAATACAAGTGTCAGTCGACTTCCATCTCGATGAGAGGCAAAAGTACCTTAAAAGTTAACTTTCTAAGAACCTTCACAATGACCAAGAGATGTGGTGAGTGGCGAAGCGAACGCGAACGTGATGGCATCGGTATTGGGTAATACTCGGCCTATCGGTCACTCAGCATCGAGGTTGGATCTGGCATTACTGCGATCCATGCTGCCACATTTCATATCAGCATATCAAACTGGAGGGTACCAGCGTGAAAGATAGAGAAATGAAGAAGAAAATAGTCAGTAGTTGTGGGAAGTTGTAAAAGGCGGATAAGAAGGAATGAAAGAATATTAAGTTTCGGTGTTATGATTAATATGAAGAAAGTTTACGGTGATTGGTCACTGATCACGAAGCTAGGAGATTCCCCATTGCGATGCACTTTGATAGATGTTATTTGGTTAGAGGCAATCGACAGGAAGGTTTCGTACTGTTGGCACTCATCAGTAGGGCGTATCTGGGTATTTGTGTTGATACGTCTGCGCCATTGGGATTGATTCTTAACCATATCATACAGTCTCCAAACACTGATTTCTTTTGTCAAGTGGACCCCAACCAGGGAGTCTACTTTTGCTACATGGATCGAACTAACAGTCAATAACTATGAACTGATACCAGTCTAGCCGCCTGTAACCTTTTTCTAGCCTAAACGTATATTGTGCAGTGAGGCAGATGGTGACTAGGCATGCGTAATAAGTGTCTCAGCCGTCTGAACCGACCAGGTTTGACAACTTTGTTAATTGAATTTCCTCTTAAGCATAAAATTCAACACCTGACTTCTAAGTTACCGACGTGATGTCCCCAGGACAGACTACTGTGAAGGCAGTGGTGATTAAACACCACAAGCATTCTCATGCCCCTTACCCTTAATGATTACGTTTCTCAGTCATAAACTAGAAGACTGAGCCGCATCGCAGTACACTCGATCCTTAATAAACAATTGGATATCATGGTGGCGCCATAAGTGGCGTAAGTTGGCGAAAGGCAATTTAAAGATAAAGAGTAAATTGCTGGAATTCATCAACTGCTTCACTTATTTGGAGAGTTGCATCAGCCCGAGCGCTTTAATTGCTGACAAAATCTCAGCTTAGATACAGAAAGTCCGTTTGGAACTTGCCAACTTGTATCATTCTTGGGGCTGACTAGTGAGATACGCGACTAGCTTTTGAAGGACGAATATACTGTGCTTCAGACCGTTTTGTTCTGTTGTACGACCGTGAGACAACCGTTAAAAGTAGATGGTGTATAGAGATCACAGGTTTTCAATCACAGACATCGGAGGATTGGTGGCGTATGGTGGGATCACCGTATGAGCAATGTTGAGGTTAGACGAAGGGTACTAGGGAAGAAAAAAAAGTTGTTTGCGAACTTTCATCGACCGAGGTGGCTTCGGCTTTTATTGTGTATGCTGCCATAAGCGTGGCAACTTGAAAAGATGCACTTCTGTACGAGGTTCTTCGTTGAATTTGCTAGTTAGTCAGTCAGTCACTAACTCCGATTTTAAATTCCTTCTCCTATATACCTTATCTACTTTGATATCACTTTTTTTGTCGTCTTATTGCTTGCATGCCACTGTGAAGTACGGGAACTTAAGCCAATGCACTTCTGTGCAAGGCTCTACGTGGGTTTGTCTTGGTGTGTTAGCTGTTGGGATATCCGGTTCAAACGTTAAGTCGAATATTAAAAAAAACTAATGCACTAAACAGTAACCACACTTCATTTTTTCACCATTCCATTCGAATTAGTTAGGAGTGTAAATTACAGTCCTCCAACTCCTACTTTAATTGATAAGGCTATTGTAAATCAGAAACGAGTTAACGAAACAGGACTTAAACTTCTCCTTCGGAAATCTTTCTGGATGATGGTGTCTTTATGTTAATGATTCTTGAAGTTCTAGGTGTTTGTCTGATCTGTGTACGAAAATATAGATCTCATTTTTAGCATCAGATGCACAATCAAATTCATAGTTGAAGGTAAACATATCGCAAAAGACACGTAAATGTAAACGTAATCGTAGGTTGTGAGCTGTTTGTGAGTAGAGTGTACCTGTATTACCAATGAGTGCAAATAATGTTAGGTTGATGGAGGTGATCGGCAGAAAACCCTGGACCTAGGTTTCGTAGTTTTTGCCACTTGTCAGCAGGGGGTATCTACAACCTCTACGGAACTAATGTCCCGCCTGAGATTCGAACCCGTGTCACAATTTTGAACCTTTTACCCAAGAAAGAGTAGTCGACTACCTATATAATTCAATTACCAATCCTTTTTTATAAAAAACTTTATTTTACTGCTATAATATGTAGCGGAGCATACAGGTGTTACTCAGAAATGTAGGTAGACTGATATTCTAATTTCACGAAAATAATTAGGGCTTCCGATGAGTGTAATAATTCACGTAAAATACCTTGTCTGTGTGTATTTTATCCTATCTTTTTAGATGATAAATGGACTTTTTGGTGGAAATGGATGATGAATTGGACTATGTAAGTAGTTTTTTCCTACGTCAACATAAGTAGTGAGTTAGCTGCTACTAATATTTCTACTAGTTATTATACTTCCGTATTTTATACATACTATATCGGTGCCCTCCAAATTTCTGTTTTGTTTAGTGCGCCTATTTCATTAGCACATAACTGATGGGCAAGTTTGCATGATTCGTCACGGTGTAGAAAAAGGAAGCAATTAAACTTAGTAAAATATCGAAATAACCGAATAGGATATGCATCAATTAAGAAGAAATAAGTATAGAGTAATAGGGAACTTGGAACCTAGTGGAATATAAACAATAGTGAATGCATGCACTTCTTTATTATCACTTTAAAATTTCATCAGCTGAAGAGAAAAATGTTAAGACACGATTAAATTAGGTTATTATTTTCATCGTCATATTTTGCTGGCTCATTTTCTTTTTTGTCGTCTTCACTATTTAGAATGAAAGTGAATCACCAGTTGCTGTAAAACGTACCAGTAATAATCCTGCTGGCGATTCAAGAGCAACACAAATGCATCTTAAATCATACTATTCAAGTGAAAAATCTCGACATAATGTAATTTCACCGCGGGAAGAAGGTGAGGCTTACTCAGACGATGAAAACGATTCTACAGTTCCAGTCGAATCAAAACGGGAATATACTAACAGGCCAATTAGTCATTTTGATAAGGAAGAAGGTGAAGCATCTAGTGAAGAGGATCGTCGTTATGATCATCATGATGCAAGACGTGGAAAATCTAATTCCAATCGACAACACAGTTCAGCGCTTGGTGCTTTAACATTTGAGGAGAGTCAATATCGTAATCGTTTGCATGAACGATATGAACGACGAGAACGTGAAAGAAAGCGATTACGTGATGATGCTGATTCAGAGTCAATACATCATGGACGTCCAGCGTACTTAAATGAAGAGTCTAATTCCAGCAGTGGGGGAGAGGATGTTAATTTAAATGTTAACATGGAGAACTCCGAAGTTAGTAGAAAACATCAATCTACCAAACCACAGGATCTAAAACAGAAGAAAGGTAATTACTTTTATTAAATATATTCCACTTGTATTTGTTCACATTGCCTAGATCATATTTTGATATAACCTTACTGTAGCTAAAAATGATTTAACTACATCCAAAGCATAGCTGGTGGTAATTACCGTTAGTCTATTTATGCCATTTGCAAAGCAACTATTACTGTTTTTGACCTTTTCTCGTTGGGAACACACACGTTCGACTGACGAGTCTTGAATATGACGAAACACGTCGAGATTTCTGTTACTAGTCACCACTAGACTACTAAAAGTTTTATGCGCTTCACTTGAGAACATAGTAATTTATTCTCTACTATTGTGCTTCTTTGATAAGCGAAGCTAAAATTTTATAGTTATCTGGCTTTTGCCAATTCGCGCCACCTATGGCGCCGCCGTGATATTCGTTTGTCTATTAAGGGTCGCGTGTACTGCACAGCAGTCCGCTCTGTTCTACTGTATGGCTGTGAAACATGGCCATTGAAAGTGGAGGATACAAAAGGCTTCAGGTGTTTGACCACCGTTGCCTTCGTAGTATAGGACATATTCCGTGGTGTCACCATGTGAGCAATGCAGAAGTTAGGTGTAGAGTTTTGGGGAGAAGAGGTAAGTCAGTCGACGAGGTTGTGAACCTTCATCGACTGAGATGGTTGGGACACGTACTACGTATGCCTAGTCACCGATTGCCTCGTCACACAATGTTGGCTGAGGTGGGTCCAGGCTGGAAAAAGGCCCGAGGTGGCCAGACTAAAACATGGCACCAATGTATGAAGTCTCTGACTGTTGGTTTGAGCCATGTAGGACGATGCAGACTAGGTGGTTGGGGTCCGCGGGACAAGAGGAACCAGTGGTTGGAGACCCTAGGTGATATGGCTCAGAACCGAAGTCAATGGGGCAGATGTATACACATTATCCTCATCTTAACGACGCTATACTAATTCTCACCATTTTGTCACTCCTCTTTCCTTTCTTCTCATACTTTATATTTCTTTTGACTGCATTCACTTATCTTCATCCTTCACCTCACTACCTTTTTACTTGATGTGCTGATATGAGATGTGGCAACTCGGACGGTTACGCAGTAATGCCTGGTCCTATGTTGATAATGATGATGAAAGGTTTTAAATCATTGCTAGTGCATAGTGCAACTATGAAGCCAATGAATTGAGGTTACATATATTGCTGTTTTAAAGAGAGTAAGGGTAAGCTATTCAATAAATTTGTGTCGGCTAAGATAGCTGAGATGTGCTTTGTTTGCGTGGCTATTACTTACTTCGAGATGTAATTTTATCTACAGGTGGTGGAAGTTGCCTAGTGGTTATTTTAAGCCATTGTAGCAATCCATCAAGTTAGTTATTAACTCTTAGCAAGAGAAAATATTGTATTTTTGATTGAGATTTTTTTTGGGTAGCAGAGATTAATGTTTATTAAATTAATTCCAAAGCAGTTCATCTCCTTTATCGAAATCAACCATAGGATTACTGGACAGCTATTTAATTCTATTTTGGTACTCTTCATAATTGTGCATTTACAATTCTGTAGGGAATTTGGCCTAAGATCATCAAGTTTTGTGTTAGATGCTTTTATTGGCATAATTAAATGCCTTGAAATACATTTTCACAGTAGAAATATATTTACACTACATTTCCCGTTAAACATTATAAAGCTTATTATTAGGAACATCATGTCACCTTTCCGGAAAATTGTAATCCTAATTCCTTTATTTTATCACCTCTTGTAGCTTTTTGTCTATTTTCTATATCCTGTACTGTCTTGATTTTAGACAATTTGAACTGATTCGTTATTTTTCTGGATTGTATGTTGTTCTAGTTAGTCGGCCAGTTTGCAACTTGCTTGAAGCTTGGGTTATCAAAATTTCTCCAATCAAAAAAGTCGAATCAAATTGCTTCGTATGAACCTGTTTTAAGTATTCAAATATGTTTTCGAATCGTGTTATGTGCTATCACGCATTTTTTAGGAGATATTTTTAAGTTATAGGTGTGTGATTGCACAATAAAATTCAGGGAAAATGCGACAGTTGATTGCAATGGATCCGTAAGCTCACAACAGTACAACATATAACTATACCTAAAAGAGTTAAATCAAACTGCAGATTATGTTTTCTGAATAAAGAGTCATCACCATACTTAAGCATGCTTTTCAATTAATCCATCTTTGCAGCATTGTACCTATAGACTGGACGATAACCTAGTAACAATTGGTCACTGCATATTATTGCTTATTGAGGCTTGGTAATTTTGCTCTACTTTTTATCGATTCTGTCACTCAACTTTAGTCGGCATGGATTGATGTTGTGCGGATGGTTGGGCAATATTAGGTTCCAATAGAATGTAAATTGTCCGCTAATGGTAACCAGAACCCAGTAAACATGTTTCTTCTTATTCAGAGCTCATTGGCTTCAGCACATTATTCCCAAATCCCACTTAACCCAATTGCAATTGAAAAACTGGCTAGTATTATCAACCCTCATATTGTAAATGTGGCTTATAATCTAACGCAAAGAGTTATACAGGAGAGATGAGTTATGTTGTCGTTTATTATTGTTATTTTAGGACTTATCAACCAACTGTATCTGCTTCACAGTGTATGTTGGTGTTTCTAACAACGCATACAGTGGTTGGTTGTTTCGACACAGAAACCGAATGGACACCATGGATTCCACTTTTAAACATTACAAACCGACTAATATTCATTATCTCACTACCGTTGTCTATTCTTTAACTAAAACTAATCTGTATAATCGAGTAAAGGCATTGCTATGATTTTTTTTCCAAACCTTTTTCTCTTCAAGTAGTAGATCGTACAATTATGTCTACAGTTCATCAAACATTAGATAAGTCTCCTCCTCAAGATAATCGCCACTATAAAGTACTGCAGAAAGAACGTGAAGAATACACTTCAAGGTATACTCAAAGTCAGACAGGCTTCTCTAAATATGATACTACTATTTCATCTAGTCAGTCAATATCTGTTACAATGTCTGATAGGATTGTCACTGGATCAGAAGGCCTCTATCCAAATGAGTTAAATCGTTCTCCTGTGGAGGTGATACGAAAGTCAAAATCAAAGAAATCAAAACGAGAGCGTAAAGAGAAAGAGTCATCAAAAAGCAGAGGTGGTGAGGTTACAATAAAGAATAAGAAAGGAAGTAAACAAAGAAAAGTACAATCAGCGAATGAATTAGACTACAGTGCATGGGAGTTAGGTCAAAAGTATACAAAGGTTCCAGACGCTTCATTTCAAGAGAGACATCCTCAACCTATCCTGCACAGTCGATCTGGTTCACTAGATTCCATATCATCTGCTTCTTCACAGTTGAGTAAAGTGTCTGATTATTCTGGTTGTTCTTCACATTCATCTCCAGTTTCACATCGTAAATCAGTATCTACCAGTGCTCAACACCTTAAGCTTTCTTCTCAATCTGCATATGATCGTGATACAGCATATAATCAACATCATCATAAAAAACGTTATCACCGAGAGGCTAGAGAAACAGCTCCACCACCTGAATCTACTCGGCATTATGTTGTTCCTAATCAGATATCAGTTAAGATTAAGCATAAACGTAAAGGTGATAAAAGGGAGACATCGGAGAATAACTATGCGATTAATTTAGTAAATAAACGTGAAAAAACATCTCAAGATGTTGAAAATCAAGATTTTCCAGTTGAAGATGTATATAAACATCATAACAAAAGTAGATTGTTAAAGAATATTGAAGTCGAACCTGTTAAGCATAGAAAACATTCATCTAAAAGCTCAAAATCAAAAGATCGTCGATCAGCATCACAGAAGTTATCAGTTTTAAAAATTCATGAAGACTATGAACAGACTAATCATAATCCTTATAGATCAGTTGCAATGAAATCTGAAGATCATGAACAATATTCAGAGGAAAGTGAATTAGATGCTGATAATACTGATAATAGAGAAGTAAATACTAATATAATGAACAATAAAGCAAGTGTAAAAGTAAAAGAAACAAATTCATTATTCCCCTCTGGAAGTAAAATAATCGAAGAAGAAATAAAAAATGCCAATAGTTTCAATAGACTTCCACTACCACCTCGTTATCCTGGTTATTCAGAATCATCATCTGAATGTGATGAAAATGAAATGCCTGATAATGAATTCATGAATAATAATGGTATTAATAAAATAATGAATGATGACGATGAAGATAAGTATAAAGACTTCCGTGATGATGATAATGATAGTGAGAATATCGTTAATGAAGATGATAATGAAATCGATTCTTTTCAGAATAAACCTCCTGGAAAACCATTTTATTTTCCGTCTATACAAGTAAGTAAACTGATAAATTTCTTTTTTTTCCTGTATGTACATTATAATACTATGCTGTCTAATTAGTTTACATAATTGACTTTCAACCAAGTGGGTCAGGAATTTGAATCCCGCTCCACCTACCGAGGTTTTGGTATTATCATCAACTTTCATTACATCATCTGTCGTAAAGGTAGATAATTTAGGAAAATTACAATTACTGGATGAGTTTTACATTCAAATCATCATCCTGATGTGACTGGATTAGTTACAGAACTATCTTAAAGTTATGGATATATGCTTTCATTTGAGAGGTTGAAGACCAGTCAGTAAGATTGTGAACTTTTACCCGTTGAATTAGGTGAGAAATGTGTTGTGAAGGCTTGATCATCATCCACTTCGACATGGTACTAATTTAGCTTTAGCCAATATAAGTTTGTAGTAGCCTCGGGGCTGATCGAGCTAGAGTTCGATAGGGGACCATGGAATCAATGATTGTGCGCACTGTTGAAGAGTCTCGTATTAGGACGAAACGACTGTGTAGTGCTTCCAAGTCTCCATTGTTTTTTCAACTATCAGTCCATGATGGATACCAACCTGAGATTGTAGAAGGTTTAGGCTTTTTGCAATAACTTATAGGGTGGTTTTGTCTACAGTGGTAGAAATGTATTCACTGACTTCGTTTAAACCATAGAAGCTAGCATTTTTCCATCACTACTTAGTTTCTATGGTCCTTTTGTACTGATTTTTCTTCGATTAATTATGAGAAGTTAGAGGAATGCACTGCCGTTTTGGATCCTAAAATATACTACTGAGTGTAGTTGTTGCCTTAGCATGGAACACTTTTCCTAATGCTATACCTTAACAGGGGTATCAATTGAAGATAGTTTGTTTTGGTAGCTGTTAGTTTCAAAACGAAAATATCACAGTATAATACCACATAGAAAGGTATGGAGTTTTGACTTCCAACCAGGTGGCAGCTAGTTAGTATCATCAGCTCTTACATAATTGGTGTGGTTCGTTGTCTACTGTACGAACTTGCTCGTGGTTGCTGAATGTACCTGGATATTTCGACGTAGGAAAATGAAATCATTCTGCTAAGTGTGCTAAAAAGGTATAACATTAGAATTTTTCTCAAGGTTATCTTCAGTATCTATAATCGCTTTTCCTCTGATTATTATAATGTTTAATAAAATCGACTGTAAAAGTGCAGCGCTCACTTCCTCGAGTCAGGATGATAGAGGCAAGGTTCTCTGAGTACGTAACCCTAACTTTACAAAAGTCGAATTCAAATATCTTTCATATAGGTGAACTCAATCGGTTTTTCTGTGAGTATTATGTTCATAAATCCGGATACATAACGCTGCTTACATTGGTCGATTTCCATTTTCATATGCTTAGACGAGTAAGCTTCTACTTCATGAGTAGGTGCGATATGTTAAACACCTTTATATCTTCATGAGCACTCAGGCCCATTTAAATCCTTATCATCAGTCCTTATCTTTATTGTTCCCTAAATTTTCCGTATCTGCTCTTCCTAATTAATTGTATTGTCTTCAAGTTTGCCTCCTGTGAAACATGCACCGCATATCTCTGATCTAAAAGCAACACCTGGTTTTTAAAACCATATGTTCCAAAATGAGCGTTGCAGCTGTCGTTCACCACAATCAATCTTCAATCCATCAGACAGAAAATGTCACCAGCGCAAATTCCAGAATGACTGAAATTAGGTGTTTGTTGCAATTCAGAGATAGGTACAGAAAGCATGTGCTGTTTTTCGTTTGACTTCACCTGGCTAGTTTAGTTAGTCTATATGTTTCATTCTTTTGGCATCTATAAGTTGTGTAATCAGCTGCTAAAATTCAGGAATATCTATAAGTCCAAGGATAAAAGCTTTGTTTCCGAATTAGATCACAGGTGACAGTGGCCTATAAGTTGTTCGACTGACTGATAAAATATGAGCGCAATGAAACCGTGATAAACGTCTTTTTGTAACCGCTACCTATACAACCACTAAAAGCAATTTAGATTAAGTGTAAGATGGACTCTGTTGAAGTTTGTTTAATCTTAGTGAATGACTTTAGCATGTAAGTAGAAAAGAATAAGTCAAACAAAAAGACAGTTATGTGATACTTTCGGAAATCCAAACTAGGAAACCAATAATATCGCTAATTCACGCCAACTGTGCTTCATCAAATCTGTATTATTTATGACTTAATTGACATATGCAGTTATGAGTTATATTTTCTAGCAGAGAAAAGTGGGACGCAAACCTAAGGTAAGACGAGATTGTTGGTGTCTGTTCATTGTTTTTGGGGCAGATTTGTCTTATGCTGAGGGATTTCAGGGTGTTATAAATTTTTTTCAATCAGGGAAATTCTAGCTTCTAGATGTACGGATCAATTTTCAGTCAGTCAATCAATCAGTCAATACCGGTTCAAATAGCCAAACATCAAATCTAAGTAGACGGTGTCAGGATGAAAGTTAGAGACATTTTGTGTGTTTTGGATACTTGTTAACTCGACTAATTTAGGGTCTGAATGGTAAAGATTCAGTCGAAAATCTTACCAAGTGGTATGAACTCGATCTGTGTAATGGAATTCACATCTGAGGTGTTTTGTTAAATCAGTTATTCGAAGATTGCGTCAACGCTTCGAGGTCAATTATCCAGATGCTACCAACTCAAACTTCCTTGACGAACACAGAAACGAAAATGAGAACATAAGTCTAAATTAAGAGTGTTTATTGCTACAGCAATCGATAAAAGTAGGTCAAGACGTTAGCGTATGTATGTATAGAACTCGACCCTATTCAAAAATGGCAACATTGATGCGCTGACAGGATATCGACATATTCGGGGATAGTTTCGAAAAATACCAAAGGAACGAACTAATGATCATATTGTGAAAGAATAAACGGATGGTAAATTCACATGTCAAGCATTAAATAGACAGACAAGGCAAAAATACTCTAGTGTTCGAACAGTGGTGTCGAGGTATCTGGTATGATGGTGTCTTTTAATCATGCAATTGTGACTGATACATTACGAAACCCGTGTATTCTGTTTTATTTAGTATTTTAAGGTGTAGTTTATTTCATCTATCATCTTTAATCGCATGCTGTAGAATGCTGACAAAGAGTGCAGCACATTGATTCTTTGAACATCTATATAAATCGTAAAATATATCATCTGTTTATGATATTGTTTTCCTTTATTTAGGGTTGTAGATCAGTTGAAGAGTTTGAATGCCTTAATCGTATTGAAGAAGGCACCTATGGGGTGGTATATCGAGCACGTGATAAGAAGGTCAATGAGATTGTTGCATTGAAACGCTTAAAAATGGAAAAAGAGCGAGATGGTTTCCCTATTACATCATTACGTGAGATCAATATGCTAATGAAAGCTCAACATGAGAATATTGTTACTGTACGTGAAGTGGTTGTTGGTAGTAATATGGATAAGATATATTTAGTTATGGATTATGTAGAGCATGATTTGAAGTCATTAATGGAGGTGAGTGATTCATGATTATATATTGTAGCGTTTTATCTATATGCTGGATTGAGTGGACTGAGTTTTTAAAAATGAGTAAATACTGATAATCAGCCTAATTGTGTGACTTTCTTATCATATAAATAAACGGTCACTTACATAGAAGATGTTCGACTCAGTTATCATAACTACAAATTACTAATGATCAGACAGCTAGTAGTCAGTAAAGGATTAGATAAAGGTCTCTAGACAGTCAGTAACTTCTTACCAATTAGTGTAAGATCACATTTTTATTCTCTATAGCAATATGAAAGTGTTTTCTTTGCTGCTACAAATGATTTTTAATAACACTGGGAGAAAGTGAATATATAACTTAATAACAACTTTCAACGTTTTCTAACAAATTGTCAGATATATTGATGCGTTAGTTTATCTCTAAGTTCAACGCTGTCAGTTTATCATTGGTTGTTTATCTGTGTAAATCATTTGTTGTGTTTAAAATCATGAATAGAGCTAAGTAGTGTTCACACAATTCTTGTCTCTAGTTTTCGTTAATATTTTACTCTGATAAGTTGTGCAACTGTACTGCGTAGGACCATATAAGTTATCAGTAAGATTTTTCATGTTTCTGTAATCCTAATGTTTATAGCAAGGAGACTACATTCTTGCAAGCAAATGCTTGTTGTCATCCTATCGTAGACTAGGCTGGTTATAGCTTCTTATTATCAGTTTTGAGGAGTGAGGCAAGACACGAGTTCATAAGGTGTTGAGCTTGCAAAGCTGCCTAAGTATATCTGTTTATTTGTATTTATCACTCGTCATATACAAAGAGAAAGGTGTTAAATATTCCATGTTATCCTAGCTTCGATGTTCTTTCTCAAATTTACTTCATTCTGAGTTAGAGATCACCTCAAAGGAAAAGATTTTAAGGCGAATCTCTGGTTCATCACCTCTACGGCCAACTAGACAATAAAAAATACTGTTCACCTTTGTTTTTAATCCTTTTCTTATATCCTGTTGCCTTTGCTTCAGTTATTCGCATGGATTTTTTTAAGTGAAAATTAATTGTTTGAAATTTATGCTTTAAAAGTATTTTTTTAAATCATGTCTGTGCATTTCGTTAAGCGATTATTACCAGTACTATTGTTACGAGATAGTTTTGTTTTATACTGTCCACTACATTTATTGTGTTAAGGCTATCTGGCGGGGTCGTGGGTGCACATTGTTGAGGAGTCCCCCTTACTAGGATGAAACGACTGTCCAGTGCTCCCAAGTTCCCAATGTTTCTCCAACTGATGCCGGTCCATAATGAATTCCAATCTAAAATCTATCTATGTTACTCGAATGACTTAGAATGGGGGCATAGATGGAAGTTTTTTGTTGGTTTGTTTGTCTTCCGCTCATTGTAGCTTCTTCAAAGCGTTACTTTTGATGATGATAGTACTAATACTCTTGTATTGTCTTTTGACTTATAATATTTAGATTATGAATGGTCCATTTAGTGTTGGTGAAGTGAAGTGTTTACTTGTACAGTTATTGAGAGCAGTTGGTCATCTACACGACAATTGGATATTACATCGAGATTTAAAAACATCAAATCTTTTGTTAAGTCATCAAGGAATTTTAAAGGTCAGTTATAATTATTATTTTTTCTCTTTCTGTTTTCATTTTCTTATTCTGCCTTATCAACATAAAACACAAAAACGATTGTCTATTTTAATAGGAATACTCTGTTAAACAAGAGTGACTATTAGTCATAATGAATGTTAACGTTTGACACCACAGGATCACTGATATTTTTACAAAAAAAGTTGAAAGCTATACCTATTAAAACAATTTCATCAAACGATTTTTAATTCACTGGTATTAGTGATTTAGGGTCATTTATTTGTTATACTTTTTCCTGGTTCAGGAGAGGAAGACAATCGTGAATAAAGTTTAGTTGAACAGTAGATTTAACAAACTAATGCTACTGGAATATTACAGTTCTGATCTGCTGTTGCGATTCTTGTTGGCTTTATTATCCTTGTTCTGTTAATATACAAAATATCTCTGTGGTAACCTTAAGGAGAAAAGAATTTTAGCTAATACGTACTTTCTGTTGGTACTTGTAATTTCTTGTTGTTATACTGGGTCAAATTGATCCACCTCTGTTAGCATGTGTTCTTATACGGATGCCTAGATATTGCCTGATTATTCATTATGTTGTAGTAAATTTGATAGTGTCTAGCAGAGGGACCTAGGACGCTCGCTTCGTCTTATTTGGAGCTCATCGGTTGGATATACCTGCACCTCAGTGAGTGGTACTGTTTCCACTGGTACTCGAACTTCTCACTAAAGCGCTGTCTGTTAGACCACTAATGCCCATTAGAATACAGGTGGTTGTCATGCCTCAGTGATTTAATGGATGGTGCTTTGGCGTTTAAAGCTATGCATGTGAAGTTCAAGTATCAATGGAAACAATATCGCTCACTGGGGTGCAGATAGACCCAGCTGATGAGTCTCGAAGAGGACGAAGCGCACATCCTGGATTCTACTGCTAACCACCACCAAGTTAAATGCATTACGTACTTTCGTTGCAGTTTCATCGGTATCTACCCTTTAATACAATGTTTCTCATTAAAAAACATACACATCGAGTAGTTACATTAACTTAGACGTTGACAGTTTTCTGTACATGTAACTGAAACTGGGAGAAAAAATTGTCACAATTTGTATCTTGGAATTTCTAATAATAACTAGATTAAAAGGATTAACAGGTATAAAAATTATCAACTACAATCACATTAAAAGCTATAGTAGGTAAAAAGACAGATATAGATAGACAAATCAACGTAGAGCTTTGGCCAGAAGTATGTCAGTTCAAGTTACATCTCACAGCGTCATGTGAAGAACAGGTGGTTAGAAAAAGAGATAGTAAAGTAGACAAAAGTGTATAGGAAAAATAAACAAACGCATGTTAGTGAATTTCAGCCATTCGAAGACGTCAAAGAGTACATACATCTGTATTATTGTGATCGATTCTAAACCATATCATTTACTATCTTGAATCATCGATTCTTATCGTCCTGAGGATCCCAACCAAACCACTCTCATCTACCTACACGTTGTTCAAACCATGTCTTGGTCCGATCTCCCCTAGTCTTCTTACAACCCAACCTTACTTCGGTTGACGTCTCACATCAAGGAAAGTAGTAGTTAAGCATCCGTAGCACATGACCGAGCCACTTTAGTTGGCGAAGGCTCACAACTTCATCAAATGACTTCACATTTTTGTCTAGAACGCTCGGCAGACTTCAACAGTGCTCATAGTTATTCCAGAACAAGTGAGGAATGCTTAAAAGATACCTGTCATCAAAAATCTAAAGCTTGACAAGAAAAACCTATGCCACTGGTCCTGGAACACTACAGGGGTCGATCTTTTTTTACATCTATTTCTCTCTACAGGGAAGGCAGCTTCGACATATGATACTTCTCCCCATTCATGGGAAATACCTTGCTTCTATCTCACCCCATCCAGGCAGCAGTATGACTTCTTTGAACCCCCATCATACCTTAACAACGTACACTTCGAGGATGACTGCTTTTTGTCTTTCCATCATCCAACAGATTTTTTGGTGTGTTAGAACCTCAAAGTACAAGCGTTCCATCCAGTTTATGTCGTTGGGTCATTTTGATACGCAAGTGCAACCATGTAAGTAGTATGCGGTCGAAGTCGAATCAAAATGCACTCAGCTACTATATGCAGTAGGCAATTAGCCAAATCTATTGCTTGATAAAAAGGGCTACTGGTTGGTTACTCAGACCTCGGTAAGTGGAGTAGGGTTCGAACCAATAATCTATCTGTTGGAAGTGCCTAAACCAATGAGCTACAGCTCCAAACATAGTTTGTGATAGTCTTAGTAAGAAATTAGGACAACTAAAAAAATAGTAACATGAAAATTAAAGATGTAATGCAGAAGCATTTAGCCACATTAAAACAGATTATGTACAAGTTAATTGAATCATTTTGTAATGTCCACGGAAGCACAAAAGAATGTTTAAGATATTTTTGCTGAAGAAGATCAAGTTTCGTGATTTTTATTGAAGTATCTTCAGCATTTAAAAAAATAAACTAGTTCTTGATCGTTGTGATATTCAGTTTGATATCTTATAGATTACTGAAAAACAGATTTCATTTCTACGTTGTGACTAGTGTCAATGAACTTCAACTGAAGCGAACTTGTAATCGTCTTTGTATTTCCTTCTTTAACTGTATTTTAGATTGTCTTTCTTAAATCGAGAAACGGTTCTCATACTACTTTTCAGATAACCAACTCCATGTTAGCAGTAGAATTTATAAAAACATATTGACATGATTGTATCAGAAATTCTGTCTTTCAGGAAATGGATGCAGAAAAAGTTTTCTTTAATGAACGTTGAAGTTCACTTTTAGTAATTTTAGTCAAATTATCACTCTTTAATTGAACATCCATGAGTGTTTGCTTTTTGCCAGTGGTTTCTACTAGTTTCTGAACGATTTTTATATAATTGTGAATGTTATTCTTCTCGTGTTTTTACGAAAAGATGTTTTCGTATACTTTTGTTATTTTTATAATTACTACATGAAAAAACAACGCTCTGTATAGTCAATATTATAATACTCATTTGGCTTTGTTGTTATTCAAAACGCTTCACTTTTTCCACATATTGAAGGTGGGAGATTTTGGATTAGCTCGAGAATATGGTTCCCCACTTAAACACTATACAGAAGTTGTTGTCACTTTGTGGTATCGAGCACCTGAACTTCTTTTAGGTGAGTCTACAGTCAGTGTGGTGTTTTTTTTGTGTGATTTACTGACAAATATTATCAGCTCATGGGAGAAAAGGGATTAAGGTTTTGGATATTCTAACAGCCTTATTATTCTTCAGGCATCCATTTTTATGAAAATAGTCCTAGTTGTCGTCTAGAGTGCAGCTTTCATTTTGGTTTCGAATATAATTAGTTATTAAATAGCAACATTGTTGATTTCACTATCTAATACTGCACTTATAAGTCGGGGAAATGCTGAAAACCGGATGTTGCTTAATATTTTCGTGACGTTTTCTTCCCTAAGCAGTTTTCTCTTAGACCATTTTAGGTCTCAAGACAGAGTAACTTGAAACTACAAAGGAGTTAAAAATAGCTGTTCAATAAACTGTAACGTTTTATTGTCCCTCAACTTCATTCACTTTATGATAAAGGCTCTTCTTGGAGCGAGGGTGCACTGACCATTGGTTTAGGTACAAGTCCTAGCCAGGAACTCGTGGGTTCGACCTCATATTTTGTCATGAGTTCTGGGCTAATATTTCTGGGTAATATTATTCTTCAAACAAATAGATATAAGCCATATTCTAGTACCCATTGCTAAACAAGCAAGCAAGTTTACCAACCTCCTCTTATTGTAATTATGAGATAGAATGAGAATCAGGCCACGAGAGGGAAACCTCCATTAGTTTAACATTTTATTTATTTTCCTCTTAATAGGTACAAAACAGTATGCTTGTCCTATTGATCTTTGGTCTGTTGGTTGTATTTTTGCTGAATTCCTCCTTCAACGACCATTATTCCCCGGAAAAGGTGAAGTAGATGAATTGAATATCATTTTTCGTGATTTGGGTACACCAACAGAACGTATATGGCCGGGTGTATCTCAGTTGCCTGGTATTAAGAAGTGTGTTTTTACAGAGTACCCATATAATCAATTAAGACGGAGGTTTACTGAAAAACAAATATCTGACCAAGGCTTTGACTTGCTAAACAGGTAGGTGAATGTATACATTTACATATAATAAAGTCTAACTCATTCCAACACAAATGTTTATGTACTAGGGAGTGAGTTGCATTTAGTTTATGACGTCTTTTGATACTGATTGATTGTTCAGATCGTAGTAAGAAAAACGGAGCCTGAACCTAGGGCTGGAAATTTTAGGGTCCAAAAAAGTTTAAACATCTTGATCACATCTCGATATACACTTAAAGTATTAACGAGTAAAGTAAATTACTTTACGTTACGTGACACTTGTCATTCGTTGCATGTTTATCGACTTCTGGAGGTTGAGGAACCATTTGCGATAATTCTGTGTCCTATTACGATTCTGAAGTTTGTGAGGGTGTTAGACATAATTTACGTTCGTCGGAATGCAGTGAGCCGTCATGAGAGTGTCTTGTTCAAAATTTGAATAGCGAAAGAAATATTGTCAGTAATTTATCAAGTAGTTTTTTGTGACGCAGTCGAAGTCAGCCTCCATTTGATGGAACTGCGAACCGTGTGAATACAACTTATGGACCGAATTACCTGGATACGGAGTTTAGTCAACAAGTTTCTGCAATCGGTCCTACTGGTTCTGGTCACATTCTTGGGAGTGCACATCACACAATCGGGGTTGGTCTGTCCAGCAGCACCCTTTCTCTTGGTAATGGAACCAGAGTTTCAGTGACTGGAACTCCTCGAACCTCTCGCGCCGTCTTGTTCGAGCTAATCGTTCTGCACAAAACCGAGATGGTGTTCTCGGCCCATTGAGTAGCAGCAGCAGTAATAGCAGTCTTATTGGACGATATTGCACAATAAGTGGAGTCGACTCTCGTCCCCAGTTCACTGATCCGACTACGTGTGAATCTCATGTGTCACGTTCGCTAAGGTTTGCATCACTCCGGTTTGATGAAACTGTGAAATGTGAATGAAACGTCAGTCAAGAGACAAGATTCTCCTGTAGGTGATTGCTCAAATGATAAATTCCCAGAACTTTCTCTTTATATGTATATTTTGCTGCGATATGGTGCCTGGCTTGAAATTCGACTAAATCCTGTGAAATTTCTTTCTTTTAGTCTAAACGTTACGGAAAGCTGCAGAGTTATTTTGACTTAGGCTACCAAAACACTACAAAATAATGACGGAAGACATTTAAGTCTCTGAAGGAGTAGAAACAATTTATGAATCAAAATGAGACTTGTAATCCTTTCATGTTCTCCTAACCTTTATGTTTGGTCTCAGAGATCCAGTTATCAAGTTGGAGACTTTATAAGCATAAGTAAACGTCCGATCATTTGCAGAAAGGAAACACTACATTCTTTTTGTGGTTTCTTTCCCAATGCGGTGCTCCGAGGCATGATAGCGTGAGTTGTTGAATCACTATGTCAGACCCTACTTTTGAGTCAATCATATTTTTCAGAAAAGACTTGGTGTTAAGTAATAAACTCTATCAGCTATTTTTTGTATGTGTGAAATTGTACATCCCTTTCACTCTCATCTCATAGACACATACTAGAAGTGATTAGTCAAGTATTTGAGTCAAGTTCGTTTTTATGTCGTTTACGATTGTTGAATTTACAGTGATTAGATGTGAAAAACAATTCGGTTTTCTCTTTTCACGGAAGTTTCACGTATCAATAACTTGTATATAGAAGTTTTTTTTGTTTACCTGGTTCAGCAACTTATTTTGAAACTTTATCACTTAATTCCATCGTTAACTGGCTGTATGGAGACTTTAAAGGCCACCGTAACAACTTCGGAAGTAACTAATGAGGTCCCGATATTCCGTCTAGAAAGGTGGTTTCTCATAAGATAAGGAAGTCTAATTGGTTATTTTATTTGTTGCTAGGGTGACCTTTAAAGTCACTCCTGACTGTACCCCTAGTTTGCCCACTATGGTTGGTAATTGGTGTCAGACTAGTGTTTAAAATTACTATTTATTGACATACTTGTTATTCTCCGTTGTTTTGTTGGATCGAGTTGTTCGACCTCTATTGGCATATGAGCTCCTATGCGGACGCCTCGATATTGCCTGAGTGTTAATCAAGATAATCTGGTTGGTTGTAGCTAGCAGAAGAATCTAGGGTGCGCGTTTTGTCCTATTTGGGACTCGTCAGCTGGACGCACCCGCACCCTAGTGATGTTGTCCCCACTGGGACTCGAACCTCGTACCCATTGCTTCAAACGCCGAGGTGTTATCGACTATGCCATGGAGGAATGATAGCCACTTCTTGTACAATGGGTAGTAGGTATTACTATTCATTGACATACTTGTTATTCTCCGTGGCATAGTGGATAACACCTCGGCGTTTGAAGCGATGGATATGAGTTTCGAGTCTCAGTGGGAACAACACCACTAGGGTGCAGGTGCGTCCAGCTGACGAGTCCCAAATAGGACAAAACGCGCATCCTGGATCCTTCTGCTAGCCACAACCAACAAAATTATGGTGTTTAAAATGTTGATCATTCAATAAAATTTCCACTCATTTTTTTCTGCCGTGTGGTTTTACGTTTCAGTGGGGGGAATATCACTCTCTGTTCCTTGATCGAATGGTGAACTTTCTTAGTCATGCTAAAGTTTCTATAGAAAGGAGTGATTGGAATTAGTTGTGAAGAAGTTGAGATTGAAATAGTCAAAAGGATTTTAAGTTCTAATTACTTTACTTCTGGTTCACCCGAACTTGTTTGTTATCGATCAGTGGACTGGTTATTTTGGGTGTCCTAACTCTTACCACAGTTTATAAGGCCGATACGTACTGACTAGTCTGTGTATGCTTATGGTGAATATGAAATGACTCACAGAATGACTTTGTATTTGATCATTAGTATCCTAGTATGATTAATGTACGTTGTTTAAATTACGCGTGAATAATTTTCGTAAATCATTTCATGGGTCACGTTTCTTTTGGAATTTTTACAGTTATTTTTCCAACGTGGAGCTGATTTACCAGACTTCTTAAACGTTTTTACGCTTATTGTTGTTGTTTTTTAGTTTCCTCACATACTGTCCAGATAAGCGAATTACCGCTGAAAAAGCTCTTGTCCACCCTTACTTCAACGAACGTCCTCGTGCTATCCACCCATCAATGTTTCCAAGTTGGCCAGCAAAATCTGAAGGTGGTGTCAATGTGAGAAAAGCTTCACCTCGACCACCAGCTGGTGGGGGTGCTTTAGCGGCGGCGGCAGCTGCTGTAGCCGCAGCTGCGGCAGCAGTATCAACAGCTACATCAGGCGGTGGTAGTCGTATGAGATATCAACCTCCGGCTCCACCTATGGGCGGTCAAAGATTCTACAGTAGTATGGCTGATTCACGCCCAGGTACGGCAAATCGAGGTACAGCTGGCTCAGGCGATGCTTATACTACCAGCGGTGTGGACAAAGGTTTCCTACTGCGTTTTTGAACAGCTTTTACCACTGTATATCTTCACCCCTCCCTTCATATTCGATTCCTTGTACAAAAACCTGAGACTCCCATTTCGTGTTGTAATTTTTGCTTCGAAATATGCAATATACGCAAGTTCATTTCACTCATAATTATTGTTTTAATCGAGTGCATCTTTGTCTGACGACTGTATGATACTGTTTGAATAAATTGTGATTGTTGCTATAAAGACTGAATAATTTTTACTACCTTCATCTGTTTTTGAGTAATTTTTGCTGTACAAAGTAGTAGTCTGTAGCAGATGGAGTGTTAGGTTTGAACAGTGTAACCTAATGGTTAGCATTTGTACGTCTAAACTAGTGAACTGTTGTCGCACTGATCCCTGTTATCTCACCAGCCATATCAGAGTGTTCTAAACACTTGATGACTGTTCTCCTCGTTTGGTCCTGCACTCATCAGCGGTGTATCCGGACAAATTTAGCCCATAGAGCTGAATTAGTTTATATCACCTGAATCTAGTCAGCTGACTTGTATGGGCTGGTATACTTAAAATAGGATGATCAATTTGCAAATGATCACACCTTGTGATCTCGGCTGAGTGATTTCCAGCGGAAACCTTGTTTACATCACAGTTGGCCAGTTGAAAAACCACTCAGCTATGAGAAATGTTAACGTGGACTGTGCAGTTTATAAATCATTAACAAATTGATCATCCTGTTATGAACTTACCTTTGAATTAGAAAATACTTTTCAGTATTATGATTGCATCTTTAGCTGTCTGTAGAGTAAATGAAAGCTGCTTTGCATTAATCCAGGAGGGGGGGGGGGAGTTTTTCCACCATTCAGAGTACTTAATGAGAACGCTAGCATTGTGCGACTGTTGTTTTGTTGTCCTACTAATGGTTGTTATTGAACAGGAATACTTTTGAAATAATCGTCTGTTCCAATGGTTAAATATCTCATTCCAACAGATGGATACTTACCCTAGCAAGCTGCACTGCATTCAACATATCGAATAAAGAGAGGTCAACGTCTCAAATCATTGTATACACTTGTATGTTCGAAGTGTTGACTGACTCTGGTGTCATTGTACACTGTTAATATCAAATTAGTTACCAATTAGCCAATATTTTTCCATGGAGTTATAATAGTATTGAATTAGGCAACATCAGAACATCGGTTGAGTTAAACTAATTTGTCTATAATTTATGTTTAGTAGCTCATTCACAGGCACTCCATCCTGTATATAATGACAACAGAATAAGTTGACACTTAAGGAGAAAATTACATTTGGTTCACCTGTAGACAGGAACACTGGATCTCATGAGTTCAAGGCTAAATGTATTACTCTGATATTTTTAAAGAAGGTTTGTATTCTCAATTTGTCTTGCAGACTACATGTAACTCTTAAGTCTAGTGGGTGAATCAACATCTTTACTCTAGATTTTCATCACCATCACCTTACACTTACTATTCATATAGTGTGGCCTGCTTAGGTGCGTAATACTAATTCCCTGTAGGGGCATCTGATGAAGAGCATGGAACATTTGTTATACTTGCGCACTTATGAAGGTAACAACTAATGAATTGTAATAAAAATCGATTTTTTCAGAAACAAGCGTCCATCATATTGCCATAAAACAGTAATCTGAAATTTTCAATGTACATATAAGTAATCTTTTTGAAAAAAGTTGATTCTGTAAAGATTTTAGTAAGATTTTGGAATACAAAGAAATTTCAATTAGATCTTCGTGCGTTAGATTCATGTTTTCAATTTAATTGCTCAAGATTTCAATATTCTGGTAGAAATCTACTCCAAATTGTCATCGTTTTCAATTCAGAGGTTTCGATAACATTCTAATCATTATCTGCAGTGTTGGTTTCAAATATGTGATAGCTCTGTCCCAAACTTATGATCTGTTGATGTTTCAGTCAATAGACTCATAGTTTTGAATATCGTGTAGCACATTGAAATGACGGTCTTCTGTACAAAGTCGTACGTTGATTCATCTACCTATCATCAACCAGGAAGGCCCAATTGATGAATAACGGAAACAGTCATAAAGGATATGAGTGATAATTAAAGAAGCAATCAATCTAACGACACATACCTGGATCGGATTCTCATAGTCCAATGTAACTCTACTTATTTAGAAAAACAAGCAGAAAATGGTGAATTCACCACTAATTATCTTAACAGCTGGGCTGAAATCCTTTCAAGACACTCATCAAGTGAGGTAGATAGAGGAAAGAAGTTAAACGGAAGTAAACTATTGCAGCTGATCGAGATTAACATCTCAAAGATTCAGAACGCAGTTGTTTAATAAATAAGAAGCACATAAAAAGAAGTTAGGCAACCTTATGATATCAATTTCTGATGACTGGTAAACTAAATGAAATATATTCGTATGCTGATGGTAAATAGTCTTACTGAAAGTTGTTTCATACATTGATTGCTTGAAGGACAGCCACCTGAAGTCAGCTTTTCTAATTGGTCGCTAAGTTTTTGAAGTGGGTAGTTTGTCATACCCAAGCCGACTTAATACTTCAGTTTAATAGATGTTTGTTGGATGGAGGCAATCGTTAGGAAGCCCTGAACCTACTTTGGGTTTCGTGCTTGTTGTCACTCGTCAACAAAGCGTATCTGCAGCCCCGACGGAATTGATGTCCCACCTGAGGTTCGGACTCGCGTCACCCAGTGCTGTAGTCAGCGACTTGGCCACTGAACTATTTGAGGCAGCGACTGACCTCCTGTAGGACTGGATTAGATACATTGATTGGTCACTAGACAACACGAATTTGGTTACCCTCCACTGACTACAACACTGGGTAACGTGGGTTTGAATCTTAGGCGGGACGTCAGTTCCGTTGGGGTTGCGGATATGCCTTGCTGACGAGTGCCAACAAGCCCGAAACCCAGGTCCAGGACTTCTTGCCAATTGCCTCCATCCAGCTAACATCTATGAAAGTGAATCGCGATGCTGAGCTGCCTAGTCTGGTGGTCACATTACAAAATGGTCGATCAAATTCAGTCAGCATATAGGACTAGACAACATGCAGTTGTTTACTCTTCAGTGACTAATCAATGTATATTTCAGTTTAATTTGAAATCTATTCGCCTAACTCTTAGCAGGTAAACAAAAGTAAATTGTATTATCTGTATTCTGTTACTCGTTTCCATGTTAAAGTGTGTGAATTTAACTAACTCCTAGCAGCAATAGGGACGATAGTAGACAATGAGAACTTGGAAATTATTCCTATATATTAAAGCATATATCACTGGTTAGATTTTCTGGAAAAAGTTGAATTGTTGTTCAGTTGTGCAGTTGTTTGATACTCAACCATCAAGGTAATGGAGTTGAAGCCTATCCCTATTAGAGTACACTAAACGTGTGATGCACAAACTGATACATTATTATAAGTATTGTAAAGGCCATTAAATTATTAATATTCATGCATTATTCTCTTGATTATTGTATAAAAGTTGTGATTTATGCATATTTTTTTATATATTTTTTGGTTTTCAAGGAAAGTTTTTATGCTTCGTATTCAACGATGATGGGCTTATTCGTAGTCTTTATCAGCACATCCATACTACATTTGTAATATCATCATATGCATATACTAATAGGCATGGGAAAATGTATATAATCAGTAGTGAATCCCTAGTTATATAACTATCTGAATGATGTCACATTATCATGGTCGACAATCTATGCGATCCCCACAACAATTGTCTATAATGTCAGATCATGAGATTATGTTGTCCAATGAAAATCTAAACTTTAATTTTGATGAAATACGCAGAGAATTGGCAAATTTAGGTGTGACAGGTTTGACTGATAAGCAATTGAGTTGCTTGAAACATGATTTAGACTTGATGATAAGTAAAGAGAAACAGTTATTGAACTGTTTACCACGACCAAAATCATCACATTCAGATTATTATTCTGAAAGGATTCAACAGTCAACATATACACATGATGATGGTGAATATAATCATGCTCATGATAATAGTTGCTATACAAACGACAATAACAACAGGAGAAAAAAGGTGTTATATTCATCGAATAAATCTCTTCCATATTTATCAAATAGTTCTTTGTCTTCTTCACAGTCATCATGTTTTTCTGTAACGTCTGAAGAATTTTCAAATTATAACACAGGTGATAATTATAATGTTAACAATAATAATAATATTGGTGAAGCGAAAATGAGTAAACGACAACAGAATAGGACACATTTGGATAAATATGTTGTTAAAAAAACTTCAACTGGTCAAACGAATAAGAAATTCACTGAAGTAAGTGTAACAACTTCATTTCTACGAATATAAGTTTAATCTACGGAATATAAATTGTTCTGTTCATTGGATTGGTTGAACCTGAAAGTGGTAGAGGATGTTTCAGGTTTGCTCCATTGACTCAAATATAAAATACAAAGACGGTGGAATCAAAACGCAAATTTGATACAACATCGATATCGAAAAGTACGCCTTATAAAGTAAAATGACAACACTTGGAAAATACCACAAAGCCTAATGGTCCTTGTGTAAGTGCTGTTATGGTCTGGACATAAGTACCCCATTGTACTCACAGCCGGCTGGAATACGTTGACGAATGTCAAGAGCAAGTTAGTCGGCATCAGTGTGGTACCTGCCACCACTATAGCGGTCTGTGTTGCTACACTTCATATTAATACATCAAGGGGAAGGTATCAAGATGAAAGCTAGAGAAATAAAGAGTAAAGTGGTCAAAGTGATTGAAAGTAGTGAGAAGCGAACAAGAAAGAAAGAAATAATAATAAATTTCGGAGTGATGACTCAAATGAAGGTAATGTGTCGATACATCTGTGCCACTGCGATCAATTCTGGGCCATATCACGTGGTCTCCGACCGCTGATTTCTGTTGTCAGGTTGTCTCCAACCAGGAAGTCTACATTCTCTTATATTGCTCACACCAACAGCCAGAAACTTTTTGGAATATTGCTATCTTCTAGTTGGACCACCACTGACTTTCTTTCAGCCTGAACCTATATCAGCAGATGGTGATTAGGCTTGTGTAACATATATCACAACCATCTGAGTCGATGAAGGTCCATATGAAGAGGTTACAACGAGCTCTCAGAGACATTGTTTTTTAGAGGGTTGTTCTTTAACACCATAAGCAGCTTTACTCTTCATTTTCGTGTTGTCTTGTTGGTACTTCCAGTTCTCACCTATACTATATGTAGACTCAACAGCTAACCTTGAATGCACTTTGGTTTAGCATTTAGTTGCAGTATTGAGAGGGGTCAATTTGCTTACATTGACACCTGTTAAGAATTACAGTTCTAGTGACCAACAGAACGCAAGATGAACTTAGCATATCCTTAAGTATGATCAGAGTCATCTTAGGTTCTGCTGAAGGATCGAAAACCCTGAATACGCTTATACTATCGGTAGCTGATTGCATGCAATGTGTGTTTGAGTCCAAGTTTAAGTGCAGTTGGAGGACTCCAGACAGCACAACTCTGACTTTACTGGAATTTAGTGCTGGTTACAAACAGTTTTTGATCTGCGCAAGCTTCAGAAAACGTTCCCCATTGTCTGACATGCAACTGAATAAACTCCATCGGTCCCCTAAGCGACCCTCTCCTTGGCCAAAACACGGCCCATGGGTTCAAGTCCTCAGCTATTATTACGATATCTACCGATTGCACCTGTTAGAGAAGGTTATTCTGTTGATGGCAGAACTCATCTTTAGCTTCATCTGGCTATCATTCACTAAGGGTATTGGCAGAGATGGTGAAGAGGTATAATTTCCTTTTCTAGTTGCTTACTGCTCCAATAGAACCTAACCTAACTGCATACAAATGACTACTGGTAGGGATCTGGTCGATAAATGCTACTTTACTGTAGCACTTGATGTGATGCAGATGCTAGTAAGGTCATAGTGTTGCACCTCAGTCTACTTAGCGGGTTTTTTGGTAACCAGTTCGTTTCATTAGCTCATTGCCTATGGCACAAACATGTCAGTGGTTTATGGGATCCTTCGTGAATGGAAATAAGATAGATACTTGAGAAATATCTGAACTTGTAATCTGCCATGAAAAACGTGTAATTCAACGTAGACTTCTGTTGTTTCTAGCTTCTGTGTCAGGCTTTATGTTGTTGTCTCGGAGAGTTGAAGGCAAAAATATCTTGAAAATATTTTATAGAATTAACAACTTTTAAGTTGTTGCATGAATTAGTTGAATAATGTTGCTCATTGTATAAAGCGCTTGACTACTGGGTCCTCCATACTTGCTATTCCTAACCTATATAACATACAAAGCCTTTACAATAACATTCTCAGTTGATTATCTTTTCAACCTTTCCTTGTGGCAACTCAGACTATTACGCAATAATGCCTGATCCTAAGTTGATTTGGATAAATGGACGTTGTCTTGTTATTGTTTTACATGTGAATTTTTATAAATGAATTTCAAGATGCATATAACCTCTCAAGAAAAGTATGGTTAACTTTCAATAATTATCCTCCTGCGTTTATTGATTTGGGACCATTTCCACCTACCGTGGTTTTCACAATCAGAAATAATAAGTTAACAAAAATTGTATGTAGCGCATAACTCACTACTTGAACCAGTATACACTTTCTGATTTATTTTATCATTGTACTGCATAACTTCCTGCCTTCATAGTGAAACGTACTGATATTTATTGAAATCAAAATACTTTGTAGTTGTTGATTATTCACAAGTTAGTCTTCATTGTGAGCGTATTTTCATTACAATCTTCCACATGGATTTGTTTCTCTGCCTGCATACTTAATTAACTTTGAACAGTTTGTTTGATGAGTAGAGGTATATCTGTAAATTCGTATTTTTCTCCATATTTTAGAATAGCGTCACACGGAAGTGAATCTAAAAACGCTAGGATATTCGATTATGGAGTTTATCTGTGTTTAATTTTTCACGGGATAATAAATTATATCATTCATTGTGAAATGTTAAAGTTTAAACCTTAGATTGCAAATATTTTCCAATAGACGTCTCATGCATTTCATCTTGTTGTTCATGTCAAAATACACATAGTGTAGAGACAACTAAATCAATCGACGCGGTTGTCAACCTTCACCGACGGAAGTCATTTGGACATATTCTAATCATACTGAGACACAATCCACTTGTATGCACAATGTCAACCGATGTAGAATCCAATTGGATTGAAATTAATAGTGACCAGACCAAAGCGTGACAACAGTTCATTAAGTTTTTGATTGTTAGTTTGGCTCGTTTAAGATGTAGACTGTCTGATTGGCGATAATATGAGCCAGTGGTTGGAGAATTTTAGTGATATAACTCAAATTTTGTCACAATGACTCAGATGTACATACTGTTATTTGTTTTCACTTTTCGATCGGTTCTTGAGAATAGGCATAATTGCCTGTGGCTAACACTCGCCATATTTCTTGATCTGGGGGCGGGGTTCGACTACGTCAGCCCAGAGGCATTACAGATACTGCACTAACTAGAGCTCTGAATTCGAATTCAGGCAGCCATGTATAGGCTTATAGAGAGCTATCATGTGAATTGACTTCAACCAGTGGTCAATTCACATGATAGCTCTCTCAACCAGTGGTCCCGACCGATAGCTGCTACCTTGACGTGGTGGTCGGGCTTGCATATCACAATGACCCAACGAGCTATGCTGGTGGAACGCTTGTTCCCTCGAGGTCCTACCATACCAGAAAGGTCTGTTGGGTAGTGGTTAGACGAAAAGCAGTTACCGTCATAGTGTAAATTGCTATACTATGATGGGGGTCTGAGGGCGAAGTCGTACTGCTGCTAGCTGGATGGGGTGTGACAGCAGTAAGGTGTTTCCCTTGGATGACCAGCAGTGCCAAGCTGATGCTGCCTTCTCAGTGGAAGGGGGGGTTAGAAAAGGTCGGCCCCAAAAATAACACACTCCACCACGCCCCACGGTCTGCCGGGCCGGCGGTGTTGGTTCACTTGTCGTTTCCTTTCGCTCATCCGGCCCCAAAAATACAAAAATTCAAAATAATCATACTCAAAAGGCTGGGTGTGACAGGCCTCAAGCAGATGTCCGATGGGCTCTGCGGTCACACAAATCTCTTTCAGGTACCTTAAGAAGAAATAGCCTTCCACGGTGTGGGCAGCCGGGAAGTGTCAACCGCCCTCACAACTCTGTCAGCACCCAAGTTTCTTCTGACTGCTATCCTCCTCCTCCATCATTACCTTCTAATCTTCCTTCACGTCTCTTAATTAATGATGCTGCATCATCTTCAATTTCTCCTACCTCTGCAGCCTTCGACAACGATCTGAGTCCACAGAACAGGTCCCTGGTCTCCTTAAACCACGCTCCAAATTACATATTGGAGCCTTCAATGTCCGCACCCTCCGTCAAATTGGCCAACAGGCTTCGTTGGCAAAGACTCTAGCAACTCGAGGCATGGATGTGTGCTGTGTTTGTGAGACACGCATACAGGACCCAAGTGTGGTTATTCACCTGACCTCTCCTGACCAATCTGGTGAATCTGCAAAATTCACCCTTCGAGTTTCTGGAGATTCGATAGCTAGCTCTCGTGGTCTTGCAGGTGTAGGTATAGCATTAAGCACCAGGGCAGAAAACTCACTACTAGACTGGATCCCAGTTGATAGTCGCCTCTGCGCTATGAGGCTGAACGGCACAGTGAGAACTAAAAGGAATAGTGAGACTCGCCGTTGTCTCTTTGTAATCTCTGCTTACGCACCCACTGACTGTAGTTCGGATGAAGTGAAGGACGAGTTCTACCATAAACTGTCTAACCTCCTCTCGAAAGCCAAACGTTCGGACGTAGTGGTTGTTGCAGGTGACCTCAACGCACAGGTGGGTAGACTGAGTGAGGCAGAAAGGCACTTAGGTGGCACTTTCGGAATCCCAGCTGAACGTACAGATAACGGTGATCGCCTATTACAACTATGCTCAGATAACCGCCTATTTTTAGCCAGCACAAATTTCAGACATAAAGAAAGGCACTGTCTGACCTGGCGTCCACCGAGCTCGACTCAGCGATGGACACAGATAGACCACATTGCTATTAGTCATCGCTGGAGAGGATCGGTGGAAGACTGCCGCTCCTTCTGGAGTACGTGTTTGGACAGCGATCATGCGTTGGTCCGAGCACGTATATGCCTGCGTCTCAATGGACGTAGAAAAAATTTGGCAACAAAACCACTACGAGTTCTGCTGGACAACGAAAACACCAAAGCCGTGTTCAGTGAGAAGTTGGCTAGGCAGTTATCGGAACAAAAGACTGTCAC